AAGGCTCTGGGTGGTCATCCCCATAGAAAGTCTTAATCCCTTGTTCAGTTCCCAGACTTGAGACAATTTTCAGACTCAGAGCCCACTGGCTAAAGATATGACTAGGTCTCTAGGAGAAAGGACCCTTTACACCATGGTTAAGTGTATGCAGTGATGATTCCCTAAGTACTTCCTCAAAAGAATCTCCTGCCATTTATTTAATAGGTGGCTATACAAAAGGCAGTGCATAATACTAGATACTTTGAGGACAATTAGAAACAGAATCTGAGTTGATGCTGATATAGGAGACAAAAAGCATCCATATGGCTTCCCCATATTAGTGTGGGGTTAATGGGGCCTAGTATGTCCTGGATGTGAGAATCTAGGTTTATAGTTCCTTTCTTTTAATACATTAAAAATAGTACTTCATTGTCTTCTTGTTACTAGTGTTACTACTGAGAAGGCTTGCATCATCTAATTCTTATTTCTTTATAGACAATCTGTTCTTTCTTCTCTGGTTCTTTTTTATAATGTTTTTACCTAGAAATTTAAAATTTCACTTTAAATATCTAGGTATGGCTTTTTTCTTGTCATGCTATTAAAAATGCTACAAACTTTAAATTTTTAAAACTTTTGTCAGAGGGTGCATGTACCTGCCGGAGAAGAAAGAGACACAGAGAAAGTGAGAAAGCACCCCCCACCCCCAAATAGGGATGGTCATGCCTCAAATTTCTTCTCTTCCTATTTTTCCTTCTATTGGACAGGCACACAGATGCACTCGCCATGTTTCCTAAGTTGCCGGGTCCAGAACTCAAACCACACTGTTGGTCATGTGGGATCCAGGTACCTTTACCACCCACCCATCAGCCGGTTCACTATAAACTGCTTAGTGTAATTTTCCCTTAATTTTAATACACCAGCCCTGGAGGTCTACAGTGGTAGGTAGGGAATACCTTGAATTAGCTGGTTAAAGCTATTCTTTCTGGGACCAGGAGTTAGTGTAATGGCTATGTCACTGGACTCCCATGTAGTTGACTGTGGGTTCAAGTCCTGGGCCCTGTGACTTAAACTCACACCGGGCGCTTGTGCGTGTGTGCCCAAGATCCCAAGAGGAGAATAGAGGAGAGGGGTTTGGGGGGTGGCCACCCCCCCTGGGGGGTGATTTCTTGCTTTCTGTCCCTCTGTCTCTGTCTGATGAGTGCACGCGCCCTATAGCAAAAAAAAAAAAAACAACTCTCCAAAAATAGAAAGAAAGAAAAAAAAAGCTATTCTTTCCAGAAACTTCTTTCCTCAGCAAGCTTTTTCTCAGATACTTCTAAAATTAGAGGTCCGAATTGCTTAGACTAGTATGTGTTCTGAAAAGCAGGTAAATGCTGTCTCAAGGTGACAGCAGGCAAGGCAGGGACCTGGGGACAACAAGAGTAAATTTAAAAACTTTTCTCTTAACTGTTCTTACATCCATCTTAAGGCTTTAGCCACCTACTTT